TGTTCTTCCCGGACGAAGGTCAAACACTCGCGCTCGGCTCCGTACTCCTCAAGAGGATGGACGAGCGTAGGCCATACCCGGATGTTCTTCCCGGATGAAGGTCAACACTCGCGCTCGGCTCTGTCCTCCTAAGAGGAAAAGGGGAAATACATGGCGCACACGCCTTACAAGAGTTAAAACATAGAAACGCATAATCTTAGTACCGCTTGCCGCAATTCCACTAGTAGTTGCATGGGCACGACGGAGGGTAGGAAGAAGGTGAAGCAGCTCCACCGATGAAGGAATGGCCGGTGGACTCGCCGATGCAAGGCGAGCCTGGGTCTTCGTTGGGTTGATGGCTTGGATGATGGGCTGCCACCTTGATTGGGAAGGCGAAACGTCACCACTTGTCCACCGATCAACACGCGGGCCCATGCGACACCCCATCCACAGTGTTTCTACTCTCACGCGTTCCATTGCCAGCTGCCAAGGAACCCGGAGAGTGGGGGGCTTCTGATGGGGAATAACCCCACACCAGCCTAGGGCTGACATCAGCATAAATTTCCTAAGTGTCGGGCTTGGACGTTCCTGCCCGGCCCAGAGCTCCGCTCGTCCTTCCTGCCCGGCTCTGCGCTCCGCTCGTCCGTCCTGCTCGGCTCTGCGCTCCGCTCGTCCGTCCTGCTCGGCTCGGCCATCCAAGCCGAGCCTGAACCCCGCGACAACGACGTGCGGAAAGCGACGTTCAACAAAGACTTGGTGAAAGCAATAGGATGAAAGGGACAAGACGTAAGGACAGGTGACGTCCGCTAGATGACGGGCATCGATTAGAGAGCTTTGACTTAGCTTATTTTACCCCCTATAAAAGGGGTGTCACCCCTCATTGTAATGGATCCCCAGTTTGAAATCAATATACTCCTACTTTGCATTCTCTCTCTCTAAAACTTCTATTATTTCATACTCTCGGTGGTTTATAGCCATCAGATAGCATGAAGCGAAGTTTACACCTGGTACATACTTGCTGAGATCCTATGTTTGACATAGTTACTTCTAAGTGCAATTGCCAGGAATCGGACTCGGGTCTACCACTTGACACTTCTATCTTTTTTCCTAACTGTGCAACGCCTACTAATTCTTATGCCCTGTTTGAATATTGGCTGTCGGCTGTTGGCTATTAGCTGTTCTAAATAGCTGTTTAATTTAGCTGGTTTTGGCGGTTCGCTAAGTCAAACAAGCTAAAGTCAGTCAAAGATGCCAAAAGCTATCTGAAAAGCCATTTTCCAAACACATCCTTAATCTATCTGTCACATCATAGCTTTTTACTAATAATTTACCCATCACATTTTACTTTTACGCATCATATCAAAAGTATTTTTAGAAATTCAACACAAATTTATTTCTTTCTTAAATTTTCTAAGAGTCAAAATGGAAACATTTTTATAGAACGGGGGAAGTATAACTTACATATATCTAAAAACTACACAAAATATTCTATAAAAAGAATGGTGACAAAAATAATTAATTTGTTTTATCAAATGCCTAATAAAAAACATACAATCTCAAATTATCAGAAGCCATAATTAGTAAAGAAAAATTTTTTTGGAGCGAAGACAGTAAGTTGTGAGAATATGTTGTGGAGATCAAGCTCTAAGAGTTTATCTCTTCAACTTATTTATTACATATTCTAATTAGAATTAGATCATATCACATTAAAAACAGTTTAAAATCTAAGT